CTTGGACTTGACATGCTGTGCTAAGCGTGCCTGATCTGTACAGTCCAACACTTGTTGAAGTGTGGTCTGATCTAGACACATAGTTAGTTTCTGTTTAATGTGCTCTTCTTTGGCCTTCAAGGCCTCAATAGTAAAATTGGTCTGTCTCACCCGTTCATTCAGCAGCTGGGTCTGTGCCTTCTGAAGGATCTTGCTTGCCCGGTGCCCGCTGACCGAAGATTTTAGTTCCAGGCTCTTGGGAATGATGCCACTTTGTCGACATCTGAGGTTGAATCGCAAGTGGTTCCTGTAGTCTGCCCTCTTCCTTGCTGTTTTCTCAAACTCTCTAACTAGTTTGAGGCAATCCTGGCCAAAGTGATTCAAAGTATCCTGATGCATGCTCACTTTTTGGATTTTTCTACCTGGATTATTGAGCATGCATCAGGATACTTTAATTCCTGTTTAAATGCAATTCATCCTGCCATACCTGCAGTGTCTTCAGACTTTGCCAGCAAATTAAAAGTTGAAGCTTAATCATTAAATTATTATCTTTGTGTTAGATTTATTTATAAATCACATTTAAACACTGCTTGTACCAATTAAATTAAATAAAAAGTAACACACACGTTCTCTATCACCGCCATTAATCAGATAACAAACAAACAAACAAACAAGCAGCTTCATCTACCAGACAGACTGACGTTACGTTTTCTCTCTTGAAACAGAACAAAGTGTTAAATTGTAGAGACTCACCTGCAACACGAGTTGGGAGTGAAACATGTTGTATCTGCTGCAGCTCCTTCCTCCTCCTCGTGACTCCGACATGTTTACGTTTATCTCCGTGGTTCTCACGTGTCGTGTCGGTGATTTTCAAAGATGCATGTTTCTCTTTTTTATCTTTAAGTTCTCCCACTCTTTGGAGGACTTGGGTCAAACAGTTTTTGCTGCGTTGCTCATTTGTAAAATTTACTTAATTTCTTTTGAAAACACGACTCTGCTCTGCTCCCCACTCGCTCTGTTCAACTCGCGCTGCAGTTTTTTTCTTCAAACTTTATTCAGTCAGTCAGCATTGACAATGAACTGCCCATGAACAAAACGAAACGGCTCCGCAGCGCCGTGAGAGACGCATAATCGCGCAACACAACAAATCAATAAATGAAATTCGTTGCCAACGCTTTTAGTCATCGTTTTTTATCGATTTTATCGATTTGTTGTTGCAGCCCTACATCAGAGTCCAAGTTTCTTTATTTGTCATATGTGGTGGAACAAAATTGTGTACACAGGGTCCCAGTTACATCCAACAAAAGTATTAAATGTAAAAGAAAATCAGTCACAAGATCTAAGATTTGAACTAAGAAAAACGTTAAAGTAAGAAATTCTAAGACATAGACATTCATGTTTATTTGTCAGAAGTTAAGCTTTAGTTCACCTGCAAACAACTGTAGTCCAACAGTATAATTTATTTTGGTTGCAAGTGTTTAGTGACACATTTCACCTTCAGTTCTGAGAAATGTACCTGGACATATTCACCTGTCTGAAGCCACTTCAGAATGGGCCTGACGGTTTTCCATGCCCCGTCTCTCAGCTGAGCAGTTATTGTTTGGCTTGTTGTCAGATGGGGGAGGAGGTGGTGGAGTTATGGTGTCCTTCTTTCCAGTCTGGGGTTAAAAGTGCATTAGAGGTCACAGGAGATTGCCAACGGGGCCTGTTACCTTTTCCCCTCCAGGGTTCGTGGTCGGTAATGACCCGAGGGAGCGTAGTAACAACCCCCCTCCCTCCACTTCTTTCCTGCAAACAACCAAAACAAGACACATTCATAGTGGTGAACCTGGAGGAGCTCTGTGGCCTGGGGGAGGCTGAAGGGAAAATCTGGACCAGAATATATCTTGTTGGTTGACAACCCCACCATTAGCTTCCAACACCTACAATAACCCACCCCCCCCAACACACACACACACACACACACACACACACACACACACACACACACACACACACACACACACACACACGCACACACAC